GAGCTGAGCCCATGATGTCATCGTTGTTGGCGGGCTTTGAGAGCATGATTGTCCTACTGAAGAAAGCAGATATCTCGGTCGATGCAAGACTTGTGCGACTCGGACTCGAAGATGCCGTGTGTCCCTTGCGCGCTCCTTTCTACTTCATTGAATGGCTGATTCCCGCACCATTCCACCTCTTCCTTGGAATAGAGAAGCCATACTGCAGGTATGAGCATGGCAAACACCTCGTAGCAGAGGAGAATTACCAGCCAGACCACGATGAAAATGCGCAAAGCACTGGACCTGCGCATCCAACTTTGGGTGTGCGAGAATGCTCTTCTCGTGTGCGCTAAACATTGCCCGAGTTGCAATCTGGCCCGCAAAAATTTGAGGCGGAGGTTTTCGCGTAGAAGTTCCGCCATCTCTTGGTCGAGAGCCAATAGCTCCGCTTCTTGACGTGCTCGGATCTGTCGGAGCTCTTCTCGCTCTCTATCTATGTGATAACGCACGAAATTAAGCGCTTGTGCTTCCGTTAGACCAAAGTACTTCTGCGTCTCGGAAAACAATCTATCAAAGTCCTGCACGAGGAGCGTGGAGTGATCTGGCTTCAGCGTCGGCGTCGCACCGGGGATCCGACCTAAACATTGATATCGCCTCACCTCCGGAGCGAAGTTCTCGTCGACCAGGTTCCAATCCGGGATGTTTGCGTGCGGATTGGCGTCCATAATGGAGGCGAGATGGTGAAGCAAGGCCGGAGTCACCTTGATGAGGTCTGCTTCTGCTTCTCAATTCTCATGAGACAGACGCTCTTGATGGATGACCTGATAGCTCGAAGAATGGCTGCGCATACACTGATGGGGGATTGCCTGATAGCTCGGAGAAAGACTGCGCATACAGAGTGCGGAATCAGTCCGAGCTCGGAAAGGCGCTCCAAGTGATCCTGCAAACCACTCACGCAACAAAATGCTGCCTGTATGCGCTCTGCCTGAACCTGTTCTAGGTTAGACTGTGCAGTGTTCAGAGGCGGTGTTGTAGCCCTATCCTCACATAAGAGAGACGCACCTGTCCACTCCACACACGCCTCGTTAAGATCCGAGCGGCTTCGAAGCAGCGTACCGCACCTCTGCTTTCCATCCCAGTCACGA